ATTTAATTACCAATATTTCGGTTGGCTGAATGCCAACCTTTATCAAGGCATTACATATTTGTATAAACAAATTCAGCGTCGCATAATGTTATAACATTTGAAATAATTTTTTAAAAATTTCAATATTTACATATCTTTTCTCTCTATCGATGTAACCCGGATTCCTGGAGCGTATATTTGCATACCCTATAATAAAGGAATATTTATCATTTATTCGGGTGATATATAAAAGAAATGAGAAACCAAACCCTTTATCCCTTCTTGATTGTATCAAAATTCGTAGTTCTATTAACTACACAAATATCTTCTTCTTCTTTCTCATCTCCACTCAATCATATTAGGGTACTGGGTGAAGTAGAATGCCTTTGTCATTAAAACTGGGAGCACTACTCAGTGGCAGGCCGACTTAGCTCCAAAAGAAATGGCCGCCTCTGACATGAGGAACAGACACCATGTGCAGCTGCTTCTAACATGGAGTATAAACGCTGCTCATCCTGTATCCCTGGATTAGGAGCTCTTACAGGGTACTATTAGCCGAGCCAGCTGAGTCCAGGTTTTTTAGTGAGCTTGTTACTGCTCCCCCTCCTCCTTTTTCATCCAGGCTTGGGACCGGCAAAGGCAGAGTTACTACACAAATATAATTTCTAGAAACACTCACCTAAAATAAATAACTATTATATAATAGATATAAATCGATTTTTTAATAAATGTAAAGGTTCTAAATAAGTTTTTAGTCTTATGGATAAAACGATGATACAGAAGGACGGGTATTTAGGTTCCATTAAGTAAGAGAATTGTAAACGTGGAAGAAGGAAACTACACCAAACTAATTCTAAAAGGAAAACTTGGGTAAGACCAGAAATGTGACTACAAAAGTCTAGCGAGACAGAATACTAACTAACGGTTTACTCCTTTCTTCCAAACTTCCAACCTGATTATTTCCTCACAGAATAATTGGCTTTTTTAATCGAAACACAACTTTCGCTTATGTAAACTCAAGAAAGAAACTTTAATCCCATTTTGCATCCAATAATTAATCGGCTTTATAATAAGATATTTCTCTTCACCTTTAAAATTTTAATAGAATAAAGTGAAAGTTTGTCTGCACGCAATGTAGCTCATTTATACAATGTCTATTTAACACATCGAACAAACTAACCAATTATATTTTAATGTTTGAAAAACGATATTTTAAAATTATCCCGCATGTGTTTCTTTTTCAACGAAAAATCCAAATTTATTTTAAGGGGAAATAATGATTATTTCTAACCTTAGGGATGAGGTATGAAAGGATGAATTGTGAAGAGTAATGATAAACGGAAAAATAAAAGTGTCCAGGGATGGGAACTGAGATGGGATTTGAGACACTTTTATTTTTCCTTTTATCATGCCTGTGTCTTGCTCTAGCTCCAGCAAAGTGGTTCGAGGATTTTCTTTTATCAAATCGGTGATTTTTTGCACATTTTCATCAGTCCTTTGAAATTTTTGGGCGTCCTTGACGAAGATCATTTTCAATGGAAATTCTGCCAGCTTTAAATCTAGAATGCCATTCAAAAACACCTTAGGGATGAAGTATGAATGGATGAATTGTGATGAGTAATGATAAACGGAAAAATAAAAGTGTTCATCCCTGGAATAAATTTAAATTTTTCGTTCAAAGAAACACATGCGGAATATTTTCAAATGTCGTTCTACAATTCTGATTGTATTACGCGTAATCTGAAAACGTAGTCATGGAATATTTGATCTATGAAGGAGTCATTAAAATCTAAACGGACAACATATATGCTGATTAATGTACATTTTGATTAGTTGTTTTAAATTCAAATATAATTAATACCACGATACCAGCTACACCCATCAATAAGTTAATCAATTGTTTACAGTTATATACAGTAGAACCTTTCTGTAAAGGACAACTAATTACAAAGTCAAAGTGTCCTTTAAGGAGATGTGTCTTCTTACCAGAGAGTTTCTAAATATTAAAAAAGGTCATTTCTTAAATGGAAGACTGTCCTTTGTAGAGAAGTGTCATCTAGTGCGAGTGTCCTCTCATGGAGGTTCTACTGTATATTTGAAATAAGGAGAAACGACACATATTTGAAGCTAAACATACCTGCCGATGGTGCAAGGTCGTTAACATTATCTGTTAATGAAGGTCGAGTCGTTGGGTAGGGATTCGTTGCCAATTCCTTTCAGGGACTTGAACTTGGATATTGTATTTGTTAAGATTGATAATTAAATTCTACCTGTTTTGCATGATAGTTAAATTCTACCTGTTTTGCATAATTTTCTTTTTTGTAAAATATTTTTTTCACCACGTGCCAAGTATGTAAAACTGGATAGCTTTGTTAAATAAAAATCAGTGTGTTTGTGAACTACGCCCGTGTGTGGGATTCCTTTATAGAATAACTCTCCCTTTGGGAATAAACCAGTGATCGCCTCAACTCAAAACAATTACAGTCCTCAGAAGGTGGTGGAGGCATAAGGATTGGTATTTGTAAGTTGAACACCGCCTCCAGCCAAGGTTAAACAGTATTTCTATAAAAACAAAAATTCGGCCAGTTAGAGTTTTTATTTTCTCAACGTTTCGACAAAAATATTTTGTCTTCGTCAGGAGAAGTAAATAAAAATAAAGCATTTGGCAAAGCGTTAACTGACCTAAGTGTCTATTTTTATAGAAATATGAATGCCAGCCAGGCAACCTCAGAATGGATATTGTAGGTTACATGATTTTCACAAGACCTTAGAGTTTCCAATGCTATTCAGATGTTTTTTTTTTCCTTCACCAGCATCCCAAGGTAGTCATCCTTTTCTCAGAACAAATTTGTTTACATAGATAAAGAGAAAAGAATTTTGTATAATAATCTTTTATTCCGCTAAGAAAAGTTCTAAATATGTAAATATTTACCTTTATATAAATATTATCTTACAGTTTCTTGGAAAGTTGCCTGTCGAAGGACGTCAAAGTCCGAAAGATTGCTGAATTTACAGCATTAAGAAACACGTCGCCGTTAACTTTTATTTCTTCTTCAAAACTCCGCCTTTGCCGGTCCCAAGGCGGATAAAAAAGGAGGAGGGGGAGCAGTAACAAGCTCACTGAAAAACCTGGGCTCAGCTGGCTCGGCTAATAGTACCCTGTAAGGGCTCCTAATCCGGGGATACAGGATGAGCAGCGTTTGTACTCCATGTTAGGAGCAGCTGCACATGGCGTCTGTTCCTTATGTCAGAGGCGGCCATTTATTTTAGAGCTAAGTCGGCCTGCCACTGAGTAGTGCTCCCAGTCTTAATGACAAAGTCAGACGCATTCTACTTCACCCAGTCATGATGGTTGTCAACAGACACCATCAAAAGTTTCAAACTTTACAAGCCTGACACCCAAATATGATTGAGTGGAGATAAGAAAGAAGAAGAAGAAGATTTTTCTTCAAGATGATGTCAGGCAATTCCTTCTCTTGTAAGTTTTTAGATGTAAACTTGGATGTGCCATGGCTTTTCCAGAAGTTAACTGTTGATGTTACAGGGGCCATGGAGTCCCTGGGCGCCGAGCGCTCCCCCAAGTCTTCCTCCCAGATGTCTGGAGAGGCCCCACATCCACAGCCGCAGAGCTAGATGGACGCTCTGCTCTTGGGGAAGACAAAGGTCTGTTCTTCTGACCAGAGATAACTGATAGAAATACCATCCACAGATAAATTAGAAAATTTATAAGATGCAAGTCTTCTCTTGTGGCCCCCATGTACCGGAGAAGATGTACTGGGTTCTTCCTCCCTCTTTCAGATGTTACAGGTTGGGAAGGTCTTCACTCCGCACGTGGACACGGAGCAAGTTGGATGAGAAAGCATGATCTTCAACCTTATTACTCTTGTTGAAAATTTTCATATATCCAATTGAATTTTGAAATCGTAAAGTTATTAACCTTTATATACAGGGTGATCCAAAAGTCTTGCACAAATTTAAAAATTAATAACTCCGCGAATATTTGCGTTAGAGCAATGCGGTAAACACCATTGTATTCAGGATGCAATGGGAACCTTTGGAAAAAATAATGAAAAATTTGGATTTGATTTTAGTTATAATTTTATTCGTTAGATGGCGCTCTACCAGAATCAGAGATTCAGTGGCCAAATTGTTTGATAAATTGAAATATATAACTGATCGACATGTATTTTTCCTTTTTGAATACCAGTAAAGAACCCTAATAATATCAAATGATAAATTAATAAAACACCATTTCGCCAAAAGTAGAAGTATTGGTTGACGATTTTTAAATGCTATTCGAGATATGTACTTTAGATTTGTTCAATATAATAATTGCCGTATTATATTATGTTCGTTTTTATCCGATCATACAATCTGATATTCTATGTCGTAAATAGCATCATTGTGCAATACATATGGTTCTTGAATCTTGTATCGCAATTGAAATTGAAAGATATACAATTGAAAATAAAACTATCATTCAAAAATAATAGAGTTACTCGATATAATGTTAATAGAGAATTTATATTAGAGGATTTATGAGAGACAGATTGAAAGATTTTCATAGGAGACAGTATATTTCATCATTTCATAATGTCTTTTTTATTCTCCGTTACTCCTGGGCTGCTCATTATTCCTTAACTGCCTTTTTTTAGTATCAAATACAATTTAAAGAAAAAAATATTTTTTCTAATTTTTTTTACTGATAATTTCTGAATTTTGTTAATGGTTGCTAAGATTTTGACAGAAAATTAGAGCTTGATTAGTCATATTAAATAATTTTAATGTTTAAACTATTAGTTAATTGTGTTGATCATGTTGAATTATATAAAAATTCTAGAAACATCAACTTAATAAAATATTTGACGTGGCGGAGTAAACTGTTGGTAACTCAGGAACCCGAATTTATTTGATGCAAATTGAGTAAAAAAACAGCGCCATTCATATTGCCACGTGGAAAATTAAGGAAGACCAACTTCGGAAATATCTTTACTTACGGGGCTGCTAACCAAAAAAAAAAAAGGTTCCGCCCGGGATCGAACCGGGGACCTTTCGCGTGTAAAGCGAACGTGAAAACCACTACACCACGAAGAAGACCAACTTCGAGATGAGTCAACAATTTATTTCGGGCAAGAACAAACTGTGAGTGATAAACAAAAGATAAGCAAAAAAGGGAAGTGTACAGTATAGAAAAATATAAACATAAAAAATAATACTCTGCTAATGAAATAATAAATACTTTGTTACAATATTGTCGCAATTAAAGAATAGAGGAACACAGAGCTATCATAGCAGGTTTTATTATTAAATTAAGGCCCGAATTGAGTGATGTCTGCCCCACAACAATTGAATAAGAAAATATTCAGCTATATAATTTGCATACATTTCTTATATTGTGATGTATCAGCGCGCCATCTGTTATGAAAATTTGAAACTATTATAGACGCGTATGATTCTTTTGGAAAAAAGGGCAGTATAAATTGTTTAATTTTCAAAAGAATCATACGCGTCTATAATAGTTTCAAATATTCATACATTTCTTATATCAATTGATTTAAACTTCCTGAATATACATTAAATAATACAACAGGTTTCTGGAGATGAATTTATTTTCATTTTTATCAAACAATCGCGAGCATCTCTGCCCCTCTACAGGAATACATAAAAACGAAAAATAAAATTTATGCGTTTTTATGTACTCCTGTAGACAATTTTTTTTTTACAATTATAATACTTTTATTGACATCTTGTCAATACATGAAAAAGTGCACAGTCTGCACTATTTAAAAAAATGATAATCCCTATATATATAAAAGTCAGTGTATGTATGTATGTGTGTATCTATGTCGGCTATACACGTCCACAATACGCAACTAATCTGACTGAAATTTTAACAGTATATAGAGTAGAATCTGGAAAAACTTATAGTGAAAATTTCAGGTATCTATCCCGAATATTCTTCGAGTTATTTGCAAATTGCGTTGCAAATTTGCCTTTTCTCTCGCAAGCAGCGCCTCTAGCGGTGAAAATGGGAGGTAATATCAGCTGACCTTATGTATATGTAAAACGTGTTTTGACAGGACATAGAGAAAAATTTGGAAAATATATTTATCGGATTTTTAGCCAATAAAAATAAAATTGACAGGTTCTGGACAAAAATAGTTGTTTTTTAGTCAGAAAATGATGATGACAATATTGATGTATCATGTTTGATTATCAGATACAAAATTATATCGGGAAAAATTCCAAAAAGCTGAGACCACGGGTGAAGCCAGTTCATTTTTAGTGTGCAGGAACAAAATTCTAACAGAAAAACATTCATTCGAGCAGAAGACACAAAACCAGATCATCTCTTTATAAAAATATCGCTTCTCTGACACAAAGTTTGGAGCGGGACGTTTCACAAGAGTGACATCCACGGCGCCAATTTATAATTGTAACGAATAGTATTTGAATAAAAACTTTTAATCAGGTAAAACCTGGACGTTGCCCGGGTCATTCGGCTAGTTATATACATATATATGATACTATGTACAATGAATATGGCGCCTCTACCAGCGCTGCAGAGTTTAGTGGAGAATCACCAGTGGGTCTCCAGCGACACCACGCATTTCGTGATCTACGAAGAAAACGTAGATCGCGTACTTCGCCGCTGAGGAGATGGTGATGGTGTGTTACTCGAGACCAACTGGAAAGATCCAGGACTGCAGGTCCGGCCGATGTTGGAGAACACCTCTCGGATGACAGGGCGAACGGCGCTACAAGACCAGTAGCGGTGTGACTGGTCGATGTACCTCTGTAGAGGGGCAGATATGCTCGAGATTGGATTAATGAAGAATATGAAAAGAAGTTCATCTCCAGAAACTTGTTTAATTCAATACATTTCTTATATAATATCAAACTGTTAAAAATGTAAAAACTGATATTCGACCGGCTGAATGATTCAACTTTCCTGAGCCCTCTATATAAATGCAATATAGCCAGGAAGGATGTCTTAGGCGTGGCCCTATCCTACGTTGATAGGATGTATCTCCTCTGCGCACTCTCGCCTGAAAATAAGATTATTATCGCCGAGTTCCTCAAACCTATCATTGAGCATGTTGGGAACATGAACTGCGCACTTAGCTTGGACTTGTCTAAACTTATGGAGGATTTGGACTCCTGACGGGATCCGGACGTTACTTCGGAGAAGGTCTCGTCTGGTGTAGATATTTCTCCTTTATCTTACACTCTGTAAAATCTCTCTTTTGCTGTTGACTAGATGGCAATAAACTATTTTTAATTGTCAAAAACTGTTAAAAGTATTTACATATTTACCAAAACAACTTTTATTTGCATGATCAGAAAATTCATTTTTTCATAATTTATCTGCCTGATCCAAGTACAAATTCACTTTTGTACTATTTTTCAAATTGATTGGCGTTCTCACACCCTTCCGGCCTAAATACCTGTTTCATGGTTTTTCAAGATGCTCCAAAGACAAGCTTTTTTGGTCGTTGAGGTAGAGCTTGCACCAAGCTGACGAGGGTCAAACATCCCGAAAGGCATACGTGGTTAGCTTTTCTTGATTAATCAAGAAACGGCATTTGACTAATTCTGGAATAATTAAAAATCAACGAATAGTTTATATTTATTCCGATAGATGACGCAAGCCATCAGCAACTTTTATTTGCACGATCAGGAAATGCCTTTTTTTCTTATATTTATTAATATACAATTGCTTTGAATACACTCTAAGCAAATTTCGCGACATCACCTCCTTCCATAGATGAACAGCGTCCCGATGATTATTATTTACAAAATTTACACAGATTGTCCAGATATTTAAACAACATTGTTCTGTTGTTCAGGATCTTGGTAGGGCTTCATACGTAAAACATGAACTACATCCTTGGAACTCTTCCTTCTGCGAGATTCTCTTGTCCACCGTCATTACCTCGTAGTTAACGTCCGTTCTTGGTTATTTTATATGGACCGAAGTATTTTTTAAAAGACTTCTCCGATAAACCAACTTTCCCTACGGGTGTGTAGATCCAGACGAGGTCGACAACGTTGTAATGTATAGGCTTATGTCTCGCATCGTATCGTGCTTCATCGATGTCCTGAGTTCTGAGGGTGTGTAAGCGGGCTAGCTGGCGGGCGTCTTCAGCATCTGTCATTAGCTGATTTATGTGCTTGTCTTCTTCGTAACCTGGCTGGTAGGGTAACAGAGTGTCTAGCATTGTTTCCGCCTCTCGTCCATTTACTAAATAGAAAGGTGAAAATCCTGTAGTTTCTTGACTTTCCGTATTATAGGTAATGGTAACAAAGGGCGAAATTAAGTCCCAATTCTTCTGCTTCACGTCAACGTACATTGATAACATGCCTCACAGGATCTTATTGAATCTCTCGGTCAGTCCGTTGGTCTGTGGGTGATAGGCCGTTGTAAAGTGCTGCGACATTCGACACATTTTGGTAAGTTCTTTAATGAGTTTTGCTTGAAATGAGCGCCCTCTATCCGTAATCATTTCTCTAGTAGCTCCATGCTTGAGTATGATCTCATTCAATATAAACCTTGCGACCTCAACTGCTCCTCCGGTTGGAATGGCTTTCGTTATTGCATATTTAGTGAGGTAATCTGTGCAAACAATCACCCAACGGTTGCCATCTCTAGTCAAGGGGAATCTACCCAACAAGTCTATACCTATTTTCTGGAAGAGAGCTGAGGAGGGGATTATGTGTTTAAGATTTCCGGGTGACAGTTGGGGTATACTCTTACGTCGTTGGCATTCTCTGCAATGTCCGACATAATAGCGAAAACTTCTTAAGAGACTCGGCCAGTAAAATAGTCTGCGTATCCTGTCATACGTTTTGGCAAACCCTAGATGTCCGGCTGTAGGGGCGTCATGAAGCGATCTGAGCACCTCTAAACGTAAGGACTTTGGAGAACCACCATCAACCAAGGTCGTCCTATGGGATTATACTATTTTCTTATAAAGTATTCTATTCATAAAGGCAAATATTTTAAAATTTGAGTCATCACAGTGTTTCCTTATTTTTGCCAATAAAGGATCTTGATTTTGTTTCTTTTTAACATCAGACAATATTCCCAAGAAAGCTATATTTTCTTCTGTTTCTTCCGAAGTATCAGGTAATGGACTTCTGGAAAGGCAATCGGCGTCCTTGTGCTTGCGACCGTTTTTATAAAAAACGGTGACTTCATACTCCTGAAGTCGCAGAGCCTATCTTGTGATATATATATACTTCCAGAAGAATCTTTCAAATATGCTAGCCAGCACAAGGAATGATGGTCAGTCACGATAGAAAAAGGGCGGCCAAACAGGTACGGTCGAAATTTGTTGATGGACCAAATTACGGCCAAACATTCCTTTTCCGTTGTTGAATAGTTTTTCTCTGCTTCAGATATAGTTGGGGATGTATAGGCAATTGGGTTTTCAGCTCCATCCTTCATTTGTACTAAAACAGCACCGACACCATAGCCACTCGCATCGGTATGAACGTAGATTGGTGCAGTCTCATCAAAGTGACCTAAAACGGGTTCAGAAGTCAGAGCCGACTTCAACTGATTAAACGAAGCTTCCTGACTATCAGTCCATATGAATCTTTCCCCCTTCCTTAGTAGTTCGTTTAACGGTCCTGCTATGGCAGCAAATCTCTTAATGAATCGGCGGTATTAGAAGCAGAGACCCAAAAAGCTCCTGACTTCTGAGACATTCTTTGGTCTTGGGAGTTTCATCACAGCTTCTAATTTATCTGGATCGGGATAAATACCATATCCATCAATTAAGTGTCCTAATACTTTCATTTGAATAGAACCAAAATCAGGATTTTGGTGTGTCGGGGATTTCGACCCTGTCGGGATTTTGATGTATCAGGGATTTTGACCCTGTCGGGATTTTGGTCTGTCAGGGATTTTGACCCTGTCGGGATTTTGGTGTGTCGGGGATTTCGACCCTGTCGGGATTTTGGTGTGTCGGGGATTTCGACCCTGTCGGGATTTTGGTGTGTCGAGGATTTCGACCCTGTCGGGATTTTGGTCTGTCGAGGATTTCGACCCTGTCGGGATTTTGATGTGTCGGGGATTTCGACCCTGTCGGG